ACTACTGGTGGGGCCACAGTCATCATAATTGGAGACAACTTCTTTGATGGCTTGCAAGTTGTATTTGGAACTATGTTGGTCTGGAGTGAGGTAAGCTATTTAAATTGGTGGGCTTTGAACTGTAACATTTTTTTCATGAATGATTTTAACAAGCTGTCAATAATCTATTGACATGAGGTATCATGAGATTTTATTTCAAAGTGCCTTTTTAACCATGAATGACTATGTGGTAATAGAAAGAATACAGAGAAATATTCTTGAGGCACATCATGGCCCCCTAGTGGAAGACATGCTATAGGAGGTCTCACAATACAATTAAACAATTAGTGTTAAAAATTACTAGAAGCAGACTTAAGGAGACATATGGAGGCAATTTTCATATGAATGATGCCCTCTGGCCTTTCCTGCAAACTAAAACCAAGGCTCATTTGCAGATATTTTCCTTAAACAACACTATAGAACCCTGAACTTACATGTGACAGCAAAAAGGTAGAGTATGGAGATGATGGTCCAATTTAAACTCATTTTAGTAATTATATCCAACTGGTAAGCATCAGTTTTATCACTACCATCTTGATTTAAACTATGTTTACTATATGATTTTTATAGCTGATAACACCTCATGCCATCAGAGTTCAAACCCCACCACGGCACATTCCAGGAGTTGTTGAAGTAACTCTCTCCTACAAATCCAAGCAGTTCTGTAAAGGTGCTCCTGGACGATTTGTCTACACTGGTAAGTGAAAATATTCAGAGTAATAGCTACCCGCTCTTACTGGTAAAGATTAGATTAGAATATAAGAGTGATATATTCACAATAGTGGGTCTTTAAGCATTTACAGCATAGTTGGCTAACAGTGAGCAACACTCAAAATAACCCACCCAGAAGCTCAGATCAGGGAAGAATCTAGAATTTCCAATGCTTATCTGACCTGCTTCAGTCTGTAAAATTGGTCTTGATATCTTATGAGGTCAGAGTCTTTGACACAAGATGCCTGATATTTCCAGTTATATATGTTGATATCAACAGCACTTCTCATTCTATTCTAGTCAGAAGCAGGAAGTGAAGAAATACTCAACAGTGAACTATATTTTTTAGAAAAGTTATGCCAACTCTTTTGGCATATACTAATGGTTCAGCTGAAGTTTAGGACAATGGTTCACATTTCTTATTATATCCAAACCAACCACTTCATCTGTCCCTATAAATAATTTTGCTGTAAAAATTATCTCAGAGATGAAACTTGGCATGCATGGTTGAAGCTTGCAAGTGGTTTTTTAAACCAAATTTCTCTTAAATATGTTTGATCGTAAGTTTCAAGAACACAAGTTAAAAATGGATGTTTTGTGGATAAATGTTTCTGAACTCAAAAGAATTTCTTTTTTAAATGAAACATTTCTGGCCTTTTGTCTAAAATATGGAGTAAGGTTTTTTTGTCATTTAAAAATTAATCCAACTAAGATATTGTGATGAAAAAAGCTGATATTAATGTAAACAGTAAATATAATCATATTTTTTTCAGGTTAATGATTTGATGTTGTGGATCCATAATACACACATGCTTACTACTATAAATATGAATGTGTGTATTACAAATTGTTCTGTTGAGTCGAGCACTTCTTTAAAAAAACACCAAAGAGTTCTTAAATATTTACTTGATAGAACATAGCAACTCTGAGAGAGATTTTAGGCCCAGATCCTCCAATGTATTTAGGCCCCCAAGTCCCATAGGTATAGGCTAAAATTGGGATTAAAGTGATGACTTAGGGAGTTAAGTCCCTAAAAAAAAAAAATGTTTGAGGATCTGGGCCATAAAGCCTACAAAATAAATAATGTGTTTTTCATAAAACACTTTAAATTAGTATTTTTCCAATAAGCTGTACTTGTTTCTATCTAGTTGTCTTGCTCTTGCTGGAATAAATGTATATTTGGGGTATTTTTAAAAACTATGAGCAGATTATTGCACGTTTTAAAGGAACTTACTATTTTAAGGCTCCAAGTCTGCTCATAGAAGTAAATAAAAGTTTTGCCATTAGCTTCAGAGGAATCAGGATTGAGCTGTTAGTTTGAATGTAGTGTTCATAAAAGGTGCTAGATTGATAGCTGTGGAGACTGAAGTCTTCCATCTATCCACAAAACAGGCACAACCTGAGCAGCAGCAGTTTAAGTTTTCCCTCCAGTATACCTCAGCTCTGACCTGGAAGGACCCACCTCCAAGGGTGAGAGGATATTTAAGTCTCCCTGTCTGTTCAGTTCTTGGCTTTTCTGCTGAGACTGTCAAGAAGGGTGGCAAATGCGATGTTGCTGGTTTTGATGATACTGACCTCTCTCCAATGCAAATGTTGCCTAACACCGCCATCTTATTTCATAGATTATGCTTAGCAGATGGTAACTGAAAAGCTAGCGGGGATAGAATGGGCTAGCTATAGGCAACTGGCATATCCAGTCATGATTATAGCATTGTTAAAAATACTATGATAACCACAAATTAAATCAAGCCAGATAAAGCTACAATAAAACATCATGGAAATATATGATCCAATTGTCTTAGTTGCAGGGAATAACACTGGAAGTCTAGCTTTATACTTTAGCTAACCATTACCAGGTATTTGTGTATTGATATCCAAACAATGACTAGTTATTTTTACTCGGTAAACAACAGAATTCAGTGAAGTCAAGTGAATTAACTACATAAGTTAGACTGAAATCCAGTTTCTTTAGCTCTGTAAATTGATGTAGTTCCATTGTTTGCAATAGAAATATGTTGATTTACACCAGATGAGCATCTGGCCCTAAATGTTTAGTCTTACATTTCACTTTCCTTATATTAATAGCTTTAACTAATGCCATACATTGTTGTTTCCTTGTGCCATAGGTTAAATTAAAAGTGCAAAAATAAATGAACTTTTAGAAAGGAGCCACTTACTTTTCCTACCCTGGCATTCTCCTTCATTGAGATACAAAGGGACATATTAAATAAAGATTTTTAAGTGAATCATCAAAATTTCTAAAATCTTTGCTTCTGCAATGAATTTACTGCAAAAATACAATATAATAAAATAGTAAAATAAAGATTTTCACGGGAATATACATTTCCAACTCTTTGTAAGATACAGAAGCCTATATGTCAACAAAAAGTAAAAAAGAAAGGTAGGGTCAGAGCCTGTCTGACCTGGAAACTTCTGTCTGATTTGCATTACCCCTAAATTGATGGGGACAATGAGATAATGATTGGAAATTATACTCACCATTAAAAACAGAGCCAAGCCTCACTGTATTTCACAATATGAAAATTATGTGGCCCTATAGTAGGGAGGGGCTGAATCCCCAGGGCATCTGTTTCCCATCAGTGTCCCACCATGCTTGCAGTCTGGCTTGGCACGCTAACATTTAACCTTCTCAGCATGAGGTGCACCATAGGGCAACAAGGCTGCAGAATAATGAAACAAGAGTGTAGTGTAGAGTACAAAGCCTCTGTAAAGTATAGAAGTTGAGACATTAAATGATGTGTGTACAGTGATATGAAAGTACCAGATTTTTCAAAAACCAGGCCCTATTAGTCACACATAGTAAGGGCACTGTGCTGCTTCTCAGCAGGATAAGGGAAGGACTATCCCCATCTATCCATGCCTTTTTGCCCACTGCTTTCAACTATTATAAAGATACAATTACCTTGGGAGATTGTGGCAGTTCAGTTGATTAGCACGGTGAATTAAAAGAATGAGTCACAAATGACATGTCCAGCTCTTCTCTACTAGTCCTTTGTATTCCCACTATACCTCACCCCTGTTGTAAGGAGGTCAAAAATTAGAGAGAGATAACAATTTTCAAGCAGCTAGCACTTAGGAGCAGAATTAACAATCATTCTGTATGTAATTGCCAGTTAATAGTAAATTGCCTTCTAGACTGTAAAATGCAGTATAAACTGGTGGGCACCTAAAATTAAATTAATGAGATATTTGCTGCATTTAAAAGTGAATAGTGCAAATTAATAAATGAATGCTATGCTTGTTTTAATATTTGCCTAATAGTGTATCATTTGCTTGTTTAATAGTAATTAAAATAGTCCTTACCTGAAAAATTCTCTGCATAGTTAAATTGAGCAATTCTGTTCAGGTTAGAGTAATCATTTTACTGGTAGAAGTCCTCTAGGTTCTTAAATTAAATATCAGAGATTATTTTTTAATTAGAATATGAGCATTCCAATGTTATTTGATTAAGGCAAATTGTGATTTGTATGCTTCTAAATGAAATTATGTTACAGTGAAAACTACTTTTATGCATACATTTTAAGGTGTGAGGAATTACTCCTTGTGTTCACATTAAGAAAACAGTATAATGTTTGCACTATATTTGTGCAAATGCACTACTATTTTCTTAAAGTGAACATTTTGCACAGAAGTTTCCTCCTAAGCAAAATAAATTCAAGCTAACTGATATTAATATTTTGTCAAAGGTCCTCAGATACAATGAATGTATCTTATTTAGAACTTTTAACGCTGACCTTTTTCCCCACCCAAATATTTTTGTGACCTTCCCTCATTTTGGTAACTTCTTTTGCTCAAGTAAAGAAATTACCATAAATTACTTAGACTGAACATGTAGGTTTTCAGTATACTGAACCCAGTTGCTAAACAAGGTATTAGCATTCAATAGTAAACATATCCGAATGGACACAGAAAAAGCTTTAGTGTTGAATACATGGAACCATTCCCAGATCTGCAATGTATTTACTAGATGTGAACATAAAAATGATTATTTCTGCACAAAGAGTTGCATTCAATTTTAGGGTTATGAAATCATTACTCAACCAGTCATTGTTCACAGTTTGTGTTTTTTCTCATAGAGTATTTATGTAAAGAAAAAAGTTAGATTCTTCTTCAACACTAGAACAGTATTGGAGGGGGAAAAATCCTTCTTTAGTGACTATATTGTCCTGGCTCTTTCATTTTGACTACTTTTCCTTCAGTATCTGAACCTCTGTTTGGGCTAGTTTGCCTCATTTAACCCCCCACCCCACTTCACCCTCTGAAAAGATCTCATGTTTCTGAAGTATTTTAAAGATCTTTTGTGTGCATTCAAATGTGATTCTGTCAATGGCACTGTTACACTGTTTAGAGTCAATAGCTCCCTTCCATCACAGCCAACACAAACTAGCTGTCTCATAGGTCAGTGCTCTTTAAACAAATTACTTGTATCCACAGAGCAAATGATTGTTAATTGCCTCCCACAAATCATACTATTTTCACGATGCTAAACTAAATGCTAATGCCTTAGTTAAATTTAAACCATCTGATTATTTCTTGTACCTATTAAATTATAGTTCTTAACCATAGAACTCACTCGTTGCAAAAAAATAAAACAAAAATGTACATAATGAATACTGTTATATTAGTGGTAAGCTTTAAAAATAAACTCAGGGTAAATTTTTATTCTGATACATTCTTAGCAGCTCTAATTGGTTGAACCTTTTTTTTTAATTCTAAGTGCTCTTGTCCTAAAGTAAGTTACACTTACTGAAAACACACTATCGATTATTTATTGATCAGACCTTGTGTAAAAGTATTGGTTGTCACCAGGCCTTAAAAATAAAATAAAATAAAAATAAAACAAAACAAAACAAAGTAGGACAGGTATACTTGTCTTTTTCTCAAGATGGTTCTTTCTAATAAGTCCTTCAGAATTGATTGGGAATTTTCAAAAACACTGTAGCAGCTAACACTTTAAAATAGACT